GCCCCGCGCCCGCGCGCCCCCCGGTCCCGGCCCGGGGAGGGGAGAGCAGGCAGGCCTCGGCGCGCCGGGAGGGGCGCGGGGGCGCCGGCGCGCGGCGGGCGAGCTGCACAGATCGGGAAGCGGTGTCCCCCTGGTGTTTCCCCGGAGCTGCCCTGATTTCGAGCGCGCCTTCTTGCCAATAGGTGTCTCCTCTCCTCTAGCGCTGAGTGCGCGCGCTCGGCCTTGGCGGGTGCAGCCTGGCGGCGGCGCCCGACTGCACGAGCCCCGTCCAGATGCGGGCGGGACGGGGACGGGGCGAGGTGAGGGCCGTCAGAACCACGAAGGAACTTTGGGATGAAGTGAAGCTGTCGGGAGGACGAGGGGTGGCCGGGTGTCTTCCCGGCGGGGCGGGGCCCCCCTGTGGCTTCGAAGACCAGTCCTACGGCGTGAGGCGTGCGGGCTGCGCCCCTCCACCCGCGCGCTTTCGGAGTGCCGCGCCCCGCAAGCCGCCTCCCGGCTCCCGAGCCCACTCCCCCGTGGGACGCGGCACAGCGCCGGCAGGTTGGAGGCTGGACGCGCGGGACTGAGAGCGACCAAAGGCTCTGTCCGTCTATGGCCCCTAGTTCAAGCCGTTTGGGAACCCTATAGACATAAACGTCCCGGCCGTAGGAAACGTTTAGGACAGTTTGAAAAGGGTCCCGCGAGTTTCCAGCCGCTCGTGTATAGCCACAGGATGGCGTACGTCTGTCCTGAAGCCTGGCGACGGCGAGTCCGCTGCTGACAGCGCGAGCGCGCCCCTCCGCAGCGCAGGGTCACAGTGGGTCTCCTTGGCCCCTGCCCTCAGAAGGCCACCACTGACCAAAGCAGCGGGGAGGCGCCCGCAGGTGTCTGGAAACAGGCGGGGAGGGGGTGACTAGCACCCCCGTGAGGGGTCAGCATGGCAAGTGCACAGGGAGCTGGGCGACGCCTCTCCAAACGCCTTCCTGGCGCTGAAGCAGTTTATTGAAATTACTTGGAGAAAGCTGGCAAAGCTGCCGATGGTAAGGGCAGACCTGCTTCCAAGGGCAGACCTGGTGAGGAGCGCGGGAGACTGCACGCGGCTGCCCCCGGCCCGCTCGAACCCACGCGAGGCCGGCTGGCCTCGGAGCTGCAGTGTCCCGAGGCGGCCAGCTGCAGAGACCTGTGTCACCTCCAGCGTGGACTCCAGCCCCCACACCCAGGTCGAGGAGATCAGTGTTGTCAGGCCGCTGTCCTGTTATTTCCTGCGCTGTTTTGTGTCAAGGAAGGGAGACGGAGCTTACGTTTCTCACCATTTCACCCCAATTTAGACAATGTTTAAATGTAAACATCAGCTAATGCTTACAGGACTAGCTATTTTATAAGTTTAAACATTCTGAGGTTTTGATTGTAAAGCCTTGGACACTTGTTTCATAGTTCACCCACGTATTTCTCATCAGGGCTTTAGGAAAAAAAAACGCAGGCCTTTCAAAGTTGAGATTTTTTTTACTTGAATAGTCAGGGGTCAGTCCTGCAGTAAGGAATCTTTTTTTTCTCCTCTGACCCCAGGAACAGCCATCTATGGGGGTGAGTTCCTGTTTCCTACCTAAGAAAATAGATTTAGAAATGCCTCTGCTGAAAGGTGGCAGCAGGTGCAATGGTGCCCTTTGACTAAACAAATATTGGTGTATTTTATAAGGACACAAAGTGAGGCTAAGCAGAAAGTGTGACCTAATGCAGGTTTGAGGCAGGGTCGCTCCTGCAGACCAGCCCGGCCTGTTGAGGGCTGGGGATGAGGGCCTGTCCTCCTGCAGGCCCTAGGAGGCCTGAGCCGCCCTGCTGAGAACCCGAGTGCTGCTGCCCTCTCCCCGCCCCCCCATGAGCATCTGGGTGGAAGCTCCTCACCCACCTGAGGCCTCCTGCCTGTTTTCCAGGCAGAACGCAGAGCGATCCAGGCCTGTAGGTAGCCACCTACCCACCCATCCAGAGGTTGCTCTACACAGAGTGCCCCAGGCTCCCAGAACAGAACAAAGCTCCCCCTGTTCTCCCAACACTTAACTTCCTAATCCAGATTAGAAAAGGTGCCGGCGCCCTGCGCTGTCACACCCAGCGCTGCAGTGCTGCACCCGGGAACACCCGCAGCCTCCCAGAGGAAGCGCCAACCTAAACATTTCCATCAGGACCGGTGCGTCTGCTGAATTGGCAAATAGCTGGGTGCCACTTACAACGTGGAAGTATTGGGGCGCTGTTAAGAGGAGCATTAAAAAAACCTGCCACCCCATCTGGTCACCTTGGTGGGAGATCTGAAACTGGGTGGGGACCAGCTGTAGTTGTGCCTTAGG